GTTTTCTTCTCCCACTGTGAAAGTGATTTCAGGATTCAGGACCCAAGTTTCAGTTTGCTACCGTGTACTTCGCATGCAATCCTCCTAATTTAAGTTTATGAGAATTAACCCCATTTGCTGTAAATTAAACCAGTATCTGAGGGTCATACAACTCAGCTCCTTGATGCAAAGGGAGGACCTTCTTTTCTTGGATTACTCACTATCATTTATTGACATGGATGGCAGAGTCCCCATCATGCCACTAGGAAGACCAAGACATTGGTGGTGGATGTTAATAAAATGGATCTTCGAGAGATTGGATGGGGTGATCTGGCTCAGGATAGGGATGAACCTTTGGGTTCCATAAAATGTTGTGAAATTCTTGAGTAGCTGGGCAGCTGGTGGGGTCTCAAGAAGGTTTGAGCTCCATGGAGTTAGTTAATTGTCAAGAAAAGGAGGTACTGATGTGAGAAGGAATAATAATGTCATGTGTAGGGTGGTACACATGACACAAATGATGGTTCTAGTTCGGGTGGTTGGATCTATTAACACTTTGGTTACAACATCTGTTGATTACATATGAATTACAGCGCTAATGCTGAATTACATGCTTCATGATTCACTGTTGCATGCATACTGGGATTCCCAATCTTCATTAGTCTCCTGGAAATGGATCTCAACACAGAAATTATAGTCTCACTGGATTGCACACTCCAGGTATTACCCATAATCAACCAATCACAATTTAAATCCTCACAGGCTGACCTCCTGTATTGTTCTGTACTCCTGGTTCCACTTTGCTCTGTTTAGCATGCTTCCTCTGCTACTATCTCTCGTAACTACTGCAATTCAGAACTCAAGACTCTTGTCACAGACACACACACTCACTTTTAGTTCCAACTCAGTCCCTTCTCCCCTTCTCCTGAGTCTGCTGCTGCCATTTTTCTCTCGTAACTTGTAACTGTCCTCAGCTGAACTCTCCTCCCTTATATAGCTGAAGGACTGACCATGCATCACATGTAAACACATGCCACAATATGTTGGAAACAATCAGGCATCATAGTTGTGATTCATACTTTAAGGTTACAGTGATCAAACATGCAGAATAAACAGAGAGAGAGACACCTGTAAAGTGGGAGAAAGAATACGTTGTCTGAAGATGCAGACTTGATAAGTGGCAGATATTTAAATCCAGTACAGGGGTGGCGTGTACAAATGATGCAGAGGAACATGTTTTCTCTGCAGCAAAGGACTTCACTTTGCAAGAATTTGGCATCATAGTTTGAGGCAATGCCAACGAGGAGCCTCTGTATTTTGATATCTCGTCAAGTTACACAATTGGTGATGTAGGTGCAAAATATATTTTCATAAAAACATTAGGCAGTAAAAAAGATTAGAGTGTCTGTAATGTTGACCAATTTGCGGGAAGCACAGAACTACTGCTGTATCTGATATTGATTTTTAAAACAGTTCCTAAGGTATAGCCAGCAGTGGCAGTCAAAGTAAGAAAGAAATGAACTAAGTTCTCTAAAGCACCAGACTGTGCGTATTGTTGAGGAAATGAGGAATGCTTGTGTTGGGTTCACCTGAAGGTCACACTGGATGTGTGATTTATGTAATGAATATTGACCTTGTGGTCATACCTGGAGGGGTGACCTCACAGCTACTTGTCCTAGCAAATAATCATTTTAGGCATCATTTGAAACAGTTATATCCTTAATGAGTTTTGTCAGAGGATCATGCTCTAACACCAGTTGGGACAATAAGGAAGCCCAATGTAGAACTTTCGTGGATCAAGATCATGGCAACAGATGTCTCCTGAAGTGGTAGATAAAGAATTTAAAGAGTACTGTACTGGTGTGTCGGATGAACTGGATGGAAGTGAATATGAGGAAAAGGTTAAAAATTTGTGGTCATTGGTCTTAAGGGGCTTGGCAGTTTACTTTGACTTTAACTTTGACTTTGATGTGAGGAAGGGGTTGGGAATGCCAGCAGTAACTTAAGAGAGTGAGCAGTGAATGTGAGACAGAAGATGAGAATTGCAAGCACTAAAGCTGAGACAGACAATATGAATGGTGAACAGAGTGTTTCTGGTGAAGCTGCATGAAGGCTAGTTACTTCAAGAAGAAAACTACAGGGTTATTCAAAAAGAATGAACCGATTTCATGACGCATTGCTTCAGTTCTCAAGTAGCGTCATGAAATGAGTCAATGACCATTTGAAAGAGGAGTAATCTAAGTTGTGAATGGCTGCCACAGGGGCGCTGAAGTCGCGTCATTCTTCCGGCAACGTCCAGTTGTTCGTTTACCCTCGGAATGGCGAGTCCTCAGCAAACCTATCTCGATATGCTCCAAAACTGGCTATTTACTTCATTGCAAGCAGATTCGCATGACTTCATTTTTCAAAAAGATGGAGCATCGCCCCATTGGCACCTGATGGTCCGAGCTTTTTTAAATGAAAAAAGTGCCCCAGTGATGGATTGGTTGGAAGGGGCCAAAGCTTGCTCTTTGTGCTTGGCCTGCGAGATCCCCAGACCTCACCGTGTGTGATTTCTTCTTGTGGGGATATGTAAAAGATCACGTTTATGTTCCACCGCTACCCACTAACCTTGATGACCTTAAACATCGAATAACAACAGCGATTAACTCAGTGCATCGTGATATGCTGATACGCGCCTGGGAGGAATTCTCTTATCGCATTGATGTTGCCCGTGCTGCAGGTGGTGGCCACATTGAACACTTGTAAGACAGGAAATAAAAGTTGATTGTGAGTAGAATACTTGTGACTTGGCTGGAGTTTTGTATTACTTTACTTTAATAAATTATTGCGTAATAAAATCGGTTCATTCTTTTTGAATAACCCTGTACTTTGGTAAATGTCATGTATAACTTATTGTGACATGATAGCTGAGAGCCTGAATAGTTAAATATATGCGGCCACTGGTAGGCAACGGCGCGGCAAACATGTCGGCAACGAATAAACAAGCAACACTAGAGGATCCAGTGTTTTCTCTGTGGCCAGTATTAGGCAACAGCGCGGTAAAACAGAACAATTAGGTATAATTCGAAGCGATGTTTTCTATTCAATCTGTGCCGAGGTTATGCAACTAGGACCAGCTGGTCCAATCTGGAGGTTATGAGCCTTATGCACCAGTCACCATTTACCCTTTACGCCCAGGAAGATTCCAGGTACTCATTTCTGTTAGACGCTGAGTCAACACCAGGGTCGTAGTGTGGCTGGAAGGATTAGATAAATTGAAAAATCCAAGGACAAACTGATTGGCCATAAACAACCAGTTGATTTTGACTTGCTGTGTGGAGGCTGAAAATAAACATGTTTGTGGTATAGGACAAGGCAAAACCAGATGCATAAAATATAAGCGGTTTAAACTTGATGGTGGTTGAGCTTACATATGTTCAAGTGACTAAGCTGCTGTTTTACCATAAGATACATATGATACGCATGAACTGTTTTGCAAAGCCTGTACTCACAGAGGATTTATATATAGTGCAAAAGGAAGAATTTTCAATAACTTTCCATAAATGTTATATATATGCTTGGTGAAAGGCCAAGCATATGCTATAGGAGACAAACCCATTGTCTCATCAAAGAGAATGTTACATAAAGAATATTACTGCAAGAGATTGGTTGGAAAAAATAACATTTCTGGTCCTGAGTCTCGAGGGGCTTCACGCCAAATGATTGGCGGTAAACTGCCAGTCGTAAAGTAACTTTGACTGTGTGAAGGTGTGAGTCATAGGAGGTGACAAAAAGGGAAATGTAGGGTCTTTTTCATTTAGTTGCAGTACATTGTCAGGGATGCTAGGTCTTCTGGAGAAATAGATCGCCTGAGTTTTCCCTTTACTGACCCTTATGTTGCAGCCCTCACACCATGAATTCACTTTAGTGGGTCTGTATTGCAGTTTGCAGAGAACATAATGTTTGTGTTTCACTCTCCCATAAGTACATGTATCCGCGAACATAGAAAGATGAGTTTGAGGTGCCATGGGGGAATCATTTATATTTTAATGTAACAGTCACTTTATGAGTGGCGGTTTACCACCAGTCAGTTCATCTTCGTACCAAGCCCCTTCAGACTCACGACCAAAGATTTTTCTCAACTTAACCTTTGCATTCATTGTTCTTGTATAACATCGTTTCTGATGAGAAGATATGTTTGTCTCTAATGAATATGCTTGTCCTTTTGCCAAGTGTATGTATTGCCCATATAGCATATTATTGGAAATTCTTCCTTTTGCACTATATACAAGTCCTCTTGACAGTCCAGGCTTTGCAAAGCAAATTGTACCCATCATATGTGTCTTATGCTACAAAGGCAGCTTAGTCACTTTAACAGTCATAAGTTTGATCACTGCCAAGATTAAGTATGTTATATTTTCTGTGTCTTGCTTCACTTTGTTCTATGGCTCAAACATGTTCATTCTCATGATTTTGTATGATGTCTATCTGTTGCCTTCACAATTTTGTTATATAATCGTATACATAGGGAAGGTTGAAATCTGCATGCAAATCGTGGACTGATGTGCAAAATGGAAAATTTCCAGTGGTGCACTGGAATTTTAAGAGGTAGGTGTCTGCTACTAATTCCCAGGCTCAGCAAACATAAGTCATTACTGATCTGAACAGGGATTAAATTGTAAAAAATGTTCTGAAGGGCTTGGCTTCAATCATTTCTATGTGGTGTCTCCATGTATTCCTCTTATTAAAGACTACACCCAGATATTTTACATAATTCTGTCCATTCAGTGTAGGATGAGCCTCAGGCCTCCTAAATCTATGAGGAACATAGATGGCCTGGGCCTTACCTGCATTGGTTTTTATGTTCCACCGCTCAAACATCTCAGTAGTACTGAGACCTTGCTGAATCTTCTGAGAACATAACCAATTTTATGGTCTGTATACAGGTGTCAGCAGCAAAGAGACCTAGATAGACATCAGGTGTTTGAAGCATCTGATTTGTATGTTTGCTGTACAATGTGTGGGACAAGACAAAGCCTTCTGGCACCCCTGCTTACATATTCCTTCATGTAGATATTTCAACTATGACCAAAACTCTTAATTTTCTCTGATAAAGAAAAGAACTTGATTAGACTGATCAAAAGTTTTAAGTTCAATAAATTAAATAGCAAGCCAAGGTGCCATATTGTATCAAGGGCTTTTTCATTATCCAAGAATAATGCAGCCATAGATAGTTCATTCAAATTTAAGGTGATGTGGTCCATAAGCCTCATACTTTGAAGTGTTTTGCTGTGATGGGCATGGAAACCAAACTGGCTTGCATTAAGCAGGCCTCTTCATGTGCCTTTGGACTACTTTCAGAATAATTTTTTCAAATAACTTGCTTGTTGTAGACGTGGCTAACACTTTCAAGGCTTTGAAAAAGGGGATTTAAATAAATATGTCAGGTGTATCAATGATCTTCATGGAAGATGCCTGAGACATTTATTTGAAATACCAGCAGCTCCACAAACCTTTCACAATTTCAGTTAATTTGCAAATTTATGTATATCACAAGGCCCTACTTTTCCCAATGGGGTGTCATCTGCAGATGCGAGCAGAGATTGGACTCTAATATTCACCTGTCACTTGTGGTTTTTGTCAGACAGGTCATGAAATGTGAACTGGTTTTCTAAGAAATCAGTCACATTGGCTTTTTCATTCAGGTGGTATATTATTCCTAAGGTTCACAAATAGGGGTTGGTTCCTTTGCTCAATCGCTTTTGATGAGTGATTTCACAATAAGCCACACAGTTTGAGGTGTGACTTCAGTTTCCTACGTGTATTTCCCACCATCCACTTCTAGGTTCGCTATTTTGCCTTAAGCCATTATGTCACAATATATGTTACTCAGAATATTTAGGCTTGTAACGGCCCACAGACCAGATTGCTGTACTTCCAAAGTGTTTGTAGCAAGCTAGACATTATTCTTTGCAGTGTAACAGATAATTTTGCTTTGTAGGGCTCTGACATTGTTGAACTGCTGCTTGATCTATCAAGCATTGCCGGAGCTCAAGATACAAATGAAACATTTCTTTGCATTCTCAATACAGTTGCTGATGCTGCAGGTGAGTATAGTTAATTTTCCATGCCAATTGTGTATTAAATAATTGTGAATCCATTGTTCTATCTAAAAGTAAAAGGAAAGCTGTTCCTGTACCTCACCTTGAAGCCCCATAGGGTTGTGAGACAAGGGTCCCACATTATCTAGACAATCGGCTCTAAGATGGTGGTAAGGTTGTCAGCCTTGCGTGCCGACTGCACTTTACTCCCCAGAAAAATTATTTAATTAATTCCTGGTACTCATTTCTGTTAGAGGCTCAGTCAGCTCCAGGTCCATAGTGTGGCTGGAAGGATTAGGTCAGTTGAAAAAAAAAATCCAATGACCTCATCGGGACTTGAACCTGTGACCTTCCGGCTTGTAGCATAGCCCCTCAACCAAGTACGCTAATGCGCGCCCCTCTATCAAAAATGAACTTTCTAGCTGCAAAGCTTCTGGAATGTTATCAGTCACATAACTGATGTTCTACTTCACTGTGTTCACTGTTTTAGGATTGTTAATATTGACCTAACCTTTCAGATATTCCTACAGCTGGGAAGCATGAGGAAGCTCGTGGGCTTCAATAATAATGTGATCTTCATAGAATTATTTTAAATGACCCACATTCATAGCGGATTTATGTGCTATATTAGTTTCCTGCCAAAACCATGCTTGTTCAGTTTCCTAGAATTTCATGTTAAAGATTGAGGATCTATGCAGTATGTGCTATTCTGTATGTCTAATTAGAAAAATTAAACTAGGGTTCATAGGTTCAAGGCATGTTTCAGAGAATGTGCTATCGCAGAACACTGTTCAGGTCCTTGGTCATAATTTATGAGTAACAAATTTAGTCTAAGGATGTAGTTTCATTCGCTTTTAGCTTATGTTTTGCACATATTTGAACAAAATGTTCTTTTCATTCTTAGTATAGTGCTGTATTTTTCAGGACCTTGAATTTTGCCTTTTCCTCACAAACAGGACTCTTCCAGAATGTGTTCCATAGTAAACAGTTGTTGAATTGAATGTGTTGTAGCATCAGGAAAATTCAGTTGGTACCTTTTCAGTACTTACATATGTTGGTCATCGTTTTAAAGTAGTACTGGGCATCCTCAGTGCTGATGTCTCTGTGAATTACTGAATGCTTGTTGTACATATTATATAATATCTGAATTAGAAAATAATTTTGAAGTCATACTTCAGTAAAATGCACATATTTACCAAAGTCATATTTGCTGTTTGGAATACTTCATTCAGTTTGATATTCAAAGTCCACGTATTTATCGTCCATCAATATTGTAACACTTGTATATTCACTGCTTAATTTTAATTTTAGTTTAACATTATGCATTATAAATATTGCAATATTGACAGACGATAAACACATGGACGTTGAGGTTGCATTATAGACGGATGATAAATACATGGACGTTAAGTTAAACAATTGCAACAGGATGCTGAAATAACAGAATTGATATTCAGCCATTATGGGGAGAGGGAAGTGTGCAGTAGGTATCACATTTCATTAATTAGATTAGATCAGTTTGGTGTAATAACAATAAAACTGCCACTGCAGAAGGATTTGCTTGTTAATGGATTAGCTGCCACTGAAAATAACATTCAAATGTTTAGAGTAAAGGATAGGCTTTCTGGCGATATTTGTGTGGTCATTCGAAGGTCATTTGAGGAGGTGTTATGGGGGTGTTCTCTCTGCAACTGCATTTACTCCCAAAGATCCTTGACGTTCCTAGCAGACAATTCAATGGAAGGACTTACAAATCAAAGGATTAAATATTCATGATATTGAAAAATGTTGCCAAGTGAAAGTTACATATCTTGGATGCATTTGTACATCATTTACAAACATTTGTATGAATCATTTTTGAGAATTAGCTAAACTGCCATGTAGATGCTTCCCCTGCATGTCAGATTTTATCAAAGTTTGTTAGTTTATAGATGAATGAACAACCAGCCCCCTTCATGTGCATTACTTCTGTGTATTTTGTGAAAAGAATGTGTAAGACTAACTGCATTGTTTCTACTTGCCTTACTTTATATACATCCATATGTGCACTTAAGGTCAAAAATTATGTGTAACTGCAGTGCAAAACTTTGAGTAAGTACAATATGTGATGAACTTAAGTTGGCTACAATCTGTAAGTAACAGGTTCTTTATTAAATGATGGTTGTGATGACAACTGGGGACAGCAACAGTAATCTGTCTTGTGTTCAAGTAACCAAAACATTATGACTTACGTAGGATCCAAATTGAAAGATTCCCCTTATTTTGCTATACTGATTGCTGTAGTAATTTATTTTAGTGATAATTATATCTTCTTAAGCATAAAAAGCGACTTTGAGACTGATAGCTTCAGCAACCTTTATGGCTACATTTTGTGTTCCAGAAATTGTATTCTGCCCGTTTCTATTCCCCACATTAAGGGACCTGTCTTCCTACATAAGTGTTCCTGTACTATGATTTTTGGTATCTTGATTGGTATTGTCATAGATTCGATATAATTGTAAATTGTTTGTGCATCAGGAATATCGGTAACAACAGGTTTATCATCAGAAACAGAATTACTGGTTTCAGAATCAGAAAACATAAATTTAGAATGGCTTCAGCATTCACACCTGTTAAATGATATTTACTTGTTGACACCACATCTGCTAATGCAGATTTGCAAGTGGCAGGTTTACAAGATTATTTGCCCCCTGAACAATTGGTAAATCTGGTTGATAACCTAAAAATAGGCTCTGTCTTGATTGATATGCAGGCAGAATTCATGCAGTTCAGATAGATATCTGTGAGATGGAAGCACAAAGCAGGAGCTATTATTGACAAGATAGCTTGGCATTGTACAGCAACAGATGACTGTGTAGCAATGCATTGCACTCCATGCTGGCAGAATAAATCACAACTGTTGTTTGTGAAGCATGTTTGGGAATAATGGTACAGACACTGTGCAGGGTAGTTGAAGGGATGGAAAGTTGCTGTTTTGCTGTTTTGGCAGACAGAAAATGTAATGTTCTCATGTTCTTTATTTGCAGGGCTTATTAGATGATGAAGGAAAGCCACAGCATTTGGCTGGTATAATCACTCATCTTCACTACCACGAACCAGGAAATTTGGCATTTGTGTATCTCTTGAGAAGTGGGGCTCTGAGGGAGCTGTGTACACCAGAGAAAGACGGTACAATCTCCAAGGCGACACAAATGAATTTGGTTCTTGTGCTGAGCTACTTGTTTGCTCCTCTTGTTCTCCACAGGAGGGCACACAATGTTAAATACAATAACTCAAAAGTGGTGCTGCCACCTCTTCCACCAAAAATTAAGAAGGTAACTGAATGCATAATTAGGACATTACTGTTTGGTTCTTGTAAAGTTTTAGTCGTGTAATTGTAGGCAGTTCTTTCTTGAGATGATAACTGTGCAGTATATTTTCCTGTATTACTGTAGTGGATGTTAAGCTCATTTATGACACAAGCTTTTGTGAACTTATCGTCTGTTTGAATGTTGTGATCGCTTATGACATAAACAATAAACATTTCTGATTGCAGCTAGAAATTAAAGCATACGCATATGTGCTTGTGTGTTTGTTGTATTGTAGGCATTCCAAATATCTGTTACCAGTGTGAATGTAATGTGATGGGAACGAATATGGAGCAGATGTCTAGAGAGGGGGATCTACATCCAAAATTTTGTTAGAATGATGTCAAAAATTTAATTTGATGTAGCCATTAAGACTTAGGAAACTGGGGAAAAAATAACAAAATTATTTGCAAGTAAATCATATTTGATAATTTCTAATTAAGTTGAAAAGTATTTGTGAGAAGGAATAGTCACAGAAGTCACATAAACCATGATGTTGTGCTCTCAGAGGCAGCTGTGCATTGAAGCATGTGCATAACAAGTGAAAACGTCTTAAGATGTTTTTGGAGAAAGAGAGGTACTCGTAATTGAACTTGACACCTTCTTGAAAGGGTAAACCCTAAATCATGGTTTCAAATTAATTAATCGTACTCACATTATTTACATGCCTCTATTTTTAGATGAGGAATTTTGTAATATATTTTTTCTCATACTCTTACAAATACTTGGTATGTACAAATATAAGTAATTATGTAATTTGTGACTGTACATATTGAGAGCCCCCCCTGATTTATGTATTATTAGTTCAAGGAGACGTGTTGAGGCTTCTGAAGTGATTGATACTTGTTTTTATGTTTTCACCAAGTCATGATGTTCATAGGTAAATACCTGGACATGGAGGCTTAGGACAGAAGTCAAAGAGGGAGGTTAGGAAGCACTTGGTGTAGAGGGCTTGATCATTGGCATCCATGTCCTTTTTGTCACATGTTGTATAGATATTACTAGCCTGTAGGGCTGACTGACTATGGTCAAAATAATCATGGATTCTCGTTACTTTTTAGATCTTATATTTGTTGGCAGCATAGTGCTTTTTCTTATAGATAAAAAGTGAACAAATTTTAGATTAAATACAATCAGTTTTCAGATTAGTCACAGCACTCCTGTGGGAACTGGAGCTACTCATTCAGAATACGCGGTGTGTTTAATTTACATCTACAGACACCATTATGCATTTCCTTGAAGATAAAAATATCCTTGATTAAGTTTCAGCTGACACATATTTTTGTGAAATATGCAGTGTGACAACTTAGTTGTGTTTTCCATGAAAATGTTGTGGGTCATAAAACCCATGATGACTCCATAGGTGTTTATACATTTCTGTACAATATTGCTACATCACATTCTCATTTTATCACATTTTCCATGTACGTACTTGGGCTTCTATTAAGAAATGACGTTACGAGCATCCAGCTGGTAAAGTGTGGTCATTGCTGCTAACGTACCCATTTAAAAATACCTGGATTTCTGATCCTCCCGCATTTCTGTTTGAGTACATGTACCTATACTTAATTAGCAACCAACAAACTGCAGTATATTACAATAAGACCTCAAGTTCTCAAGTAGGGCCCAGCTCCATGAAGTAACTGCAAAAATATTTAATTATGTTGTCATAATTTATGTTTTTGGATTTTTGAGAATTTTGGCAGATTTTTCAAAGAGAGATTTATCAGTAATGTTTGTCTGCAGTATGTTTGAAATGAGGGAAGTGTGAAGCCTTCTATAGATTTGTATCCTTATCCCTATCTTGTACAATTCTTTTGTGTATGTAACATCTATTTTCTTCCACTCCTTAGTAATTGTTTTTGTTTAATCTGTGAATCCACAGGTATTGGAAATGTACAATGAGGAAGTCATGTGCATATATGACATTTACTTCAAGTGTGTGGCTGAAGGTATTGCTAATAACCTGGGAGAAGATGTTACTCTTCCAATGTCAGGAGTCCGTATTATGCCGAGAGAGGCTTTTGTAGCAAGTACTGAAGGTAAATGTCTTAAACATGTAGTGTTTCTCATTATTAAAATTTTAGTGTAGTGTGTGAAGGAATATGTTGATCCTATGCATTACTTTAGCAAGTGGACTGACTTAACACAACAAATGCAAGTAAAGTGTTCTTTTTCTTTATTCTGCCTCTACAAAGAGAGCCTGCAGCTGCACCCAAAATACCTGCTACCACAGTATGCAAAAGTCGTAATAACGTCCTGTCCTCACTGTTCATTTTGCAGAACGTGCTGACATGACATGTCATCATCATCATCATCATCATCATCATCACTGGCATGACAGCCCTTTGTGAGCCCTGGCCTTCCTCAGGATTGCTCGCCATTCTTCTCCATTCGATGCTACATTCCTTCTGTTCTTTATACCCAAAATTCTTATGTCCTGCCACACACATTCTTCCCATCTCAATCTTGGTCTTCCCACTTTCCTGTTTCATTCTGGTTTAGTATTAAGTATTTTCTTAATCCTTCTATTCTCGCTGGCACGTATTATATGTCCAGCCCATTCAAGCCTATTCACCTTTATAAATCCAATAATGTCTGGTTCATTAAACAATTTGTATAGCTCATGGTTATACGTCTTCCTCCATATTCCATTTTCTTCCACTGGTCCAAAGATATATCTCAGGATCCTCCTTTCAAATATACTTAACAGTCTTTCATCCGATTTTGACAGTGGCCAGGTCTCAGAGGCATAAGATAGCACTGATCTTATAAGTACTTTATACATCATAGTTTTGGTTTTCCTGGGTATTAATTGGGATTTCAGGTGTTTCCTAAGGCCATGGAGACATTTATTTGCTGCAAGTATGCAAGTAATGTCCTGTCCTCACTGTTCATTTTGCAGAAAGTGCTGACATTACATATCATAAAAATTTTAAGCTAGCGGCAGGGCACAACAGCGGTCACTCACACTATGGCCCTTTCCAAGTTCTTTGCAAAGGGATTTGCTTAGTTACAAATATTTATAGCCGGAATCCCTCACTTTTTATGACATATTGTTGCTCAATAAAACTCCATGTGATTTAAATTTCTTGCCCTTGACCGTACAGACAGATACAGTTGATGAAAGGTTCTCAGCGTGAAAAGTTCAATTTTCTGTTTTACTAGAGTGATTCATTTTATAACAATGCCTAAAGCAAAGCCATCTGAATTATGTAATTTAAAGCAGATTGTAGCTGAATTTGGAGGTGATATATTTTCAACTGATGCTAACATTTTATACTGTAAGATGTGTGACACAAAATTAGCGGCAGAATAAAGATTCATGGGATAACAACATATCAGCTGCAACAATCATATGAGCAGTGCAAATTTCAAGCAAAAGAAATCTGTGCAAATGTTACTGCAACAGTGTTCATCTGAAGGCGGAAATACGTCATGGGATTTTTTCACAGATCTGTGTGATGTTTTGGTGTCCGCAGATATTCCATTTTGGTCTGTGAACAGTGAAAAACCGAAAAATTTTCTGGAAGTAAATTGTGGTCATTCTATCCCGGATGAATCCACCCTCAGGAAAAATACCTTTCCAAGTGCTACAACAATATCCTGGAAATGATTAGGAATAAAGTGCATGGGAAGGAGACTTTTGTTTGTATTGATGAGACCTGCGATACAGAGGCTCGCTACATGGCCAACGTCATCATTGGAACCTTGGAAATTGATGGACCAGGTGAAGTGTTTCTGCTTACGAGTGAGCTGCTGGAATCTGTTAATCATTCCACAATTTGTGAACTCTTTGACTAGTCGATGTTTCTAGTGTGGCCAGAGGGTAAACAACATGACCTCATCTTGCTTTTTGTGACCAATGCGGCCCCATATATTTTAAAAGCAGGCAATTCAATAAAATCGTTTTATATGAAATTGGTGCACATTACTTGTCTAGCACATGCACTGCATATAGTGACGAAGGAAGTGAGATCAAGATTTCATCAAGCGAATGCTCTCGTATCGTGGACGAAGATTTTTGTCAAGGCTCCAGCTCGTAAAATACAATTCAAATTTATGGTTCGTGGTGTTCCACTGGCCCCAGAACCCGTCATTACAAGGTAGGGAACTTGGATTGATGCTACAATTTACTATGGCTATCATTTTCAGGCAGTGAAAAACACTGTAGATGCAATGAAGACAGAGGATGCGAGGGCAATTGAAGCTGCTCAGAAACAGTTCTCGTGCAGCGAAATGGAAGGACAGCTGGCCTTCATAAAGGCAAATTTCAGTTCCTTGACAGAAGGAATCAAATGCTTACAGGAGAAAGGAGCCATGCTAGAACATTCCCTTGCGCTTGTGAAAGAAATAGCCAGTGCTTTGGAGAAAGTGTCAGGGACAGTGGTAAAATAGAGTCAAGAAAAATGAAAAATGCTCTACGTAAAAACTCAGGTTATGAAACATTATGCAGCATTTCACAAATTCTGACAGGAGAGTCCTGCAGGACTTTCAATATTGAAGAAGAACTTACTGCTAGTGATTTGATACACTTCAAGTACGCTCCCATTGCATCTGCAGATGTGGAAAGGAGTTTCTCCAAGTGCAAGAATGTGCTGTTGGACAATAGGCGCTCACTCCCCTTCGAGAAGCTCTGCATGTTGACTGTCATCTATTGATTTATTGCAGTTTTGAATGAGATGACATTTACATATTGAAATATATACACGTATGTACATTTGATAAGCATTCCAACACTGTAGAAAAAACCATATTGAAACTCCAAATTCAATAATATACTGTTTAATTTTCAACATAAAAACGAGGATGGACTTAAAAGAGTAACGTTGAGTTCACAGTGTTAATAAAGATTAAAAATACATTTTAAAACAATTAGTAGATCTTCTATGACATGATACATTTTAGGTTGTTTTTTTAACTTTTAGGTAATTTTTCTGGATTTTTATTGTAATTTTTTTACATATTTTTATGTCATTAAAATCTGGGCCTAGGTCATAACTTTGTAAATAAGTTCACTGGTCCTGGAGCTGTTGCCTGTCATAGTGATTTACATTCAGTCTCTGTTACAGGTCCCATGAGTCTTGAGAGGCACTTAGTAGAGGGTTGTGAACCAAAAGTCATTTGTTCTGCATTTGCTGCCCTCTCGGGCCATTCTGACAGAGGGTTGTATTCTCATTACAACATGATCTCAAATATACGCCACCAGGTATGAACTTTTATGTTATTTTTATGTAAGCTTACATGTCCACACCAATTCACAGGTGATAGATTTTGTCTTCCTTCATCACATCTGACAGTAATTTATGTGACACTTCAGACGCAAGACAAATTCTTTCAGCTTTAGCTACTACTTGAACTTTGCTTAAATTTGTCATGAAAACTATCCAGCTACAGTGTGGAAAACTGAAACTAGAGAAACAAAATTCAGCTCTTGGAATTTATTCCATGCCACGCGCATTTTGGAGCACGGAGCAACTCTGAACGGCTGTGAAATTTCTCTACTGTTGTGTGTGTGAAACAGTGATAGTCTTCCCTCGTCTGCCTTAGCTTACCACTCGATGATATAATTTCCTCAAAACAGGTACATGAGTACAATGAATTCAGCACCTACAGTAATATTACAGTGTTTGATCTTGTGACAGGTTTTTCAGAAACCATAATCATTTCATTGTTTCATTTATGTAACAGTTTTTTCCTTCCAGGATGTCATCAAATGTCTCATTAAATTTTACATAGAGATAGAACTCAGTATTTATGTCCAAAATGATTTGTTCATGTAGATATTTAACAGAGGATGCTTGAATGAAATCAGTGGAATTTTAAGTAAGCTGTCTCATGGTAACCGTCTAAGATTAGGAGAAAACACCGTTAAAAAAAGGTGTTCTGACTTGTATTTGAGAAGTACTGTATCCAGGTTGAATCTCAGCCATGTTAAGGGCAGTCTGCTTGGCGTTTTTCACTTCTTTTCAGGCAAATACCAGGACAGTACCTTAAAATGGGCCAGACCCACATCAGACATACCAATTCACCATACATATTCAGTGCCAATAACATTTACAAGTGGCACAGCATTGTTAAATAACTCACAAACTAAGCAGTCATGTAATCTAATACAAGCATAATATTGTCACGTGTTTTGCTACTGAAGACACAGTTCGGATTTTTAATTGATTTATTTAAGAACCTACAAATTGTAACTACAATTAATTATAACACAGTTGCAGGTTGACACAATTTATAAACCCTACACAATAATCTGTTCACTCTATCTTCAATAGTCTTCACTTACTCACAGTACAATATGGGAGCTATACCAGTGTCACTGTATTACACACTCGCAATACCTTCTCACACTGTCACCTCTAATTACATGGTCTGTTCTTCTTCACGATTGACTCACTACAACTGAAATCGGCGACTGCTACAATTCAACTGACTACTTAGGCATTCCAGTTCTCTTATAAACCTTCAGCTGGACAGTGAAAAATGCACTTCTCTTCCCTGTTGCATAATCGCTGTGTTTACAGGCATTGCTGGGCAACGCTGCCCAGAGTTGTTTGTTGCTGCATAGCAACCAGCATGCTTCCGCTTGGCTCGGAGAAACACCGCTTTCCTTACTGTTGTGTAACTTGGCAACTGACCATTATCAAGGGTCTGTCTTCGTGGTAACTTGTTCCACCTCCCGTTGCCCAGCAACAGTTAGACATCTCACAATATTATTGTTTTGCTGCATATACATTTCTACTGCATTTTTTTTAAATTGTTCATGATGAAGGGGCACAAAAAATATTGTGTTATGTCTTCCTTGTATATCATCATCGTTGGGAAAGTAAAAGTAATACATGAGCATGATTTCACTGCTAAAAGATAAAAAGACAGAGCTGTCCCTCTAACAGGCCATGAAGACCTGTGAGAGCTCGAGACTTCCACATTTTCTAGAAAATCGGCTCAGTTGGCAGTAAGGTGAGCCTTATGTGGTGGCCACCCTTTACACCCCAGGAAAATTCCTGGTGCTCTTTCTGTTAAGAGGCCGAGATGATCCCAGGGCCATAGCGGCTGGAAGGATTAGGTCAATTGAAAAATCCGGTGACTTCTTTGGGAATCAAACCCATGACCTCTGGCTTGTAGGATAGTGCCTCAACCAACTATGCGATCTTGTGCCCTGACTTTCACTGCATCACAGATATAAAAGATTATCAAGTAGAATACAGGTTGTGTATCAGTTATCTTTACAAGCACATTCGTGAATAAAAACGGCATGTATGGACATACACACATTGTTCATGCGTCATCTGCAAGAGAAACATTCAGAA